CTTTACAGAGGCTTGCGCGTCCATAGTTCGGTTATAGGCTCATACTAGAACCCATAAATTTTAATCTAGAAGTTTTATCGTTAAAAAGGAACTTTTGAACAAAATGGATAAGTGCTGAAAACATTATTATATATAATTCGTATTTATAATATTTTTTTTCAATACGATACTCACGACTCATGATTTCGTGGTTATAAACAATGAACCAACTTTTTTACTTGTATGGGATTACAAGTGCAGACTAAATACCTATTTATAATCTTAAAAGGTCACAAACATATTTTCGATTATAAAGTATTGGAGTCTAAACCTATAAAGCTCACCAACATTTTTGTTGACGTATTTTTAAAACGTATGTATCTTCAGGATCTTAAAAGCTGGAAGAATGCCTGCAGGGTAAGGAGGATATTTCTCCTTAAAATAAACTATTGTCCGAGTAACCGGACCTCTTGATATATGCTTTATTGAACTTGAATCATGTATTAGTCGTCGTTTGGGATTTATTAAACAATGTATTTCTTCTTTTCATACTTTGGAAGAATGTAATGTTATTTGAATTCTGTAATATTCGACGTATGTTGTTAACTATGAACCAACGTTTCACGTCGCAACACCGGTGATTCCGCCATCGGTCGGGGTGTGACAACAGCCAATAAGGGCTTGACACTTGACGCAAATGGGGAGGATATTGGTTGGGACACGTGTCGTGCAAAGAGTGGGCCGAATTTCTATTTCTTTTTTCGTTTTTCTTTTTTTCTTTATTGTTTGCCTATTGTACCCTCAAAACATTAAATTTTTGCCGGAAATTATTAAAATTTCGTAATTAGTTACCAAAACGCTTTATTATCTCGTGAGATTTTGACGATAAATAAAATTAAATCTTGACCGTTTATTTTTTTTCAATCTTATGGCTAAAAATTATCCTCACGATTTCTACCAATATTTGAGTACCTACATGATTTTACTTTTATATATATATATATATATATATATATATATATATATATATATATATATATATATATAAGTTTTTTGAACTAAACAGTCACACTCTCGGCTGGCGGCAGAAACGCCGAGTTGTGCGACGTTCGTTGAATATCATAATTATATGACATAAATCAAACAATACATAATATTTGTATTGCTAAACAGTGATTACATTAAATCTTTTACATGTTACAAGCTATCTATCTCCTTGCGTCTTGTACTCCCTTGGAATGATCTTCTCTTCTTCGACTCCCTATGAATATATGTGATTTTGAAAACGGTCAACATAATGTTTGTGAGTTCATATGTTTTATATTTTTTGGAAATACTCTTTGTAATTGTTTTCAATATGGGATCTTTGTTTTATGAATGGGTATGCTTTCATAACTCCTCTTATAACCTACGTCTCCAAGGAATGTTTTATTTCACGATCTTGATTCGTAATTTGTTATTATTTCGTTGTCGTTCTCTTTTTATTTCACTTCTTTCTTTAGGGAATATTCGAATTTATATACTCGACCAGTTAATTTCAAATAGGTATTCGATAAGATAATAGAATAATATTTATTATTATTCTTGTATTTGCTACTTGAATATATATATATATATATATATATATATATATATATATATATATATATATATATATATAACTTCTTGTAACTCTTAATTTATCCTTTTAAGATATATCACCCCTTTAGCTTATCCTAAAACTTCTCTAAGATTTTCACCATTTTAGCTTATTGATACATACTATTACTAATTCAAGGCATTCCCATCTAGGTAGTTCATTTTATTAACGTTGGCCGAACATTGTGACAATGAGTTCCTATAATCGTGCTTTCGAGTAGATATTTTCCCCACACGACGCTTCATCGGACGCCATAAAATAGTTTAGAAAGTTATGCATGATGTGATTCGACCATCAAGGTTGTAGCTAGCAACCGCAGGTGGGGGTGTCAGCTCCGTATAGATCTATACATATTTTTCCCGCTCACTTAAGATTTAACGATTATAGGCTAGAGTTAGCTGAAAAATAATCGGCTAAAGGATGAATAGTGTCGTTCTCATTTAGCAATTGTTTTGTTTAGCCCTTTAGTATGATAGTTGCTCTTTGATCTTATTATTTTTATCTTTAACCATCTTTGTTTTAATTCTGTAATTATACTAATATATACTTATATAAATATTTGGATGTTTTGTTAGGATATAGAAGCAGAGCAACAACTAGGTACAATGATATCCTCTAGATTTGGCCAACATAAAACCTAGCTACTATGTTACCCTAGATATGGCCATCATAACACTAGGTATTAAGTTACCCTAGCTTTGGCCAGCATAACACTAGCTACTAAGTTACCGTAGCATCACAATTTTGGGTAGAGTATCTAACGAACATAATATTATCCTATGGTTTGTACAGCATAACGAGTAGGTATAATATTCCTAACATTTTATGTATTTTGTAAATAACAGACATTGTATAAGTAATAGCACTTTACAATATCAACAACATGTATCCCCCCCCCCTCCCGGTTAAACTTTTGAAAATCATAAAAGTGGGGTCGTGAAATCACCCTTGCAGCGTGTTTTGACTGATCTGGGACTTCGCATCGAAAAGCTCGAGTCATTTGGGAGAAGGAAAAAATCTATAGGTTGAAGGAGAGAGTAGAGAGTGATGTGATGTGTGACAAGAGAGGGGGTATGAGTCTCTATTTATTGTGGCCGGTTTTGGTGTGCGCGCGACACACCTTCATATACGTGTCGTGCACATGTACGTTGGTTCCATGTAGAATTGGACACGTGTCACTATCTCGTTCGTCCACGTCTCTCGTATCTCAACGAATCTGGTTGTCAGACGTGTGCGTCACGCGTGTCGCACGCACGGTTTTCAAAAATTCATCTCTTTCATAATAATCTTGATTTCGGCGTTATTTATATATATGCGTAGCTATTGTCAAGTACTACAACTTTTCTTTAGGTTGCATTGGCTAACTTTGACTTCATTTTCAACACTTATTTTTATAAGTCTAAATGATTTTATAAATATCATATCTTTCTCGTACGGACTTCGTTCTTGGTTTCTTTTCACCTCATCGGTCTTGTATCGAGAAGTACTCTGATTCTCCTTTACAGAGTTTTGGCTAAAACTCGACCGATTTTCCTTTAACATTTTACGTCACACATCACTTGTGCGCGGTTGATTTTCATATTTTATAAAATTCATAACTTTTCCGCACGAAGTCAGATTTTTATCAAATTTATATTTTTGAAAACGTGTTGACGCGTACTTTCGGAATATATTACCTTTATGCTAATTAACGCAACTTTTTGCATACTTATTTTTAAAGTTTTTGGTTTTTCTCACGTGCTGGAGCTTGAAATTTTGTGTTTTGCGAACTATCGCTTTCCAAGTCGTTTATACTTGTGATTAGTAATTGGTGTCAATTTTTACGATTGTCACATAAACATATTTTGCTTAGTCCAATACAATCATTTTGTATATTGCTCCTAAATGATATATCCATTCATTTGAAGTGCTTCCAATCCAAGCCTCACCCAATTAATGGACCATCAAAGTCAGTTATATACAAGGTTAAAAGTATTAAGTAATTTCATACAACCACTAAGATATCTATGAGAGATTGCCAAATACCTCAACATCAAATAAGGAAAAAGGCATAGTCTACACACTCTTGTAACCGTTGGGATTTGATGGAATCTAAAAGAATAAAAGAAAATCAAATTTGCAGCATAAAATGGTAATTAAAAATTTATAAACCACAAGAACCATGGATCCAATAGAGTTATTACCAACTAACAGAACTAAACAACATTCTAGAAATCATATTCTTAAAACGTAGGTCCTTTGATGTAGTTGCTGATAATAATGAAAACATATTGTTATTACATGTATCCATACAAGATTACGAGCCAATCCAAACAACTGCTAGACCGACAACCATCAAAGCAAAACCACATTGTTGCTTCATTTGCACTTGGTCGATGATCAAGATACATGGGTGAGGCTCTAAATTTGTGGCTCAATGTCAAGCGAAAGAAATGATATACTTTAGGGGTTTTTAAAAGCTCTTATCAAAAATCCTAAGATGTCTTTCTTATATACTTATTAATGATGGACATTAGACAAACCTTTCAACTTTTAATCAAGTAAGCCTGCAACCATTTAATTACTTTAATTTACTATTTGAATTATTAAATAATATCTTTTTTAATTACTAAATAAACCATTTATTTAATTTTTCTTTGACTTAATAAATAATAAATAATCTCTTTCATTTCTTATTTATTTTAGTTGATATATAATCAATAATTAGCAGTACAATAATTTATTGACTCATAGTCATATATAATTAATAATTAGCATGCAGTACAATAATTTATTTATATCTTATAAAATATTTCCTGACAACTCACATTTATACAAAAGATAAAATAACAACTGTACACATAGTGATATAAACATCTAGCAAGATGTATGTTTGGGAGAAATATATAGATTTATTAGTAGATTACTGAGCGTGTTAGCCTAAAAAAACAAAAACAAAAAACTATAGTAAACAAAAGGAAAACTAAAACACTTGTTTATAAACCTAACCTACTTAATGAAGTATCCATACGAAAGTTGTTCAACCCATATATATCGTTTCCATCAATAGAGTACTTATCGGTACAATCATAACCACTTGTAATAACAATGACATATCCCTAATTCACTCTTCCTTCTTAGCCACATATATGATTCATCAACTTCTATAAATAGTAATCTCAATTGCATAGGTATTTGAGATTTTGAGGCGTATAATTTCTCACGTTTGAAGATGTGGTTACTTGTGTCCATGCTTTCTAACTTCCGTCCTTGTGAAGGCAATGCTCAAACTTTGATCCCCTTGGTTCAATGTCCAGAAATCCTTTAGGTTTTCAATCTCTATTTTTATGTCGTTCTAGGTTTTGAGAAAGCCGAAAGGATCGATCACAGAAGAATCCAAAAGATGGAAGACAGAAAAGGAAACATTTTGATGCAACGATATGAGCTAGGCAAATTGCTTGGACATGGCAATTTTGCGAAGGTCTATCATGCACGAAACCTCAAAACTAACCAAAGTGTGGCTGTTAAGGTGATTGATAAAGATAAAATTGTGGAGGCGGGGTTGATGGACCAAATCGAGCGTGAAATTTCCGTCATGAGGCTTGTAAAACACCCGAATGTTGTTGAACTTTACGAGGTAATGGCAAGCAAGACGAAGATCTACTTTGCAGTGGAGTACGTTAAAGGAGGTGAGCTTTTCAATAAGGTCGCGCAAGGGAGGCTAAAAGAGGATGCTGCTAGAAAATATTTTCAACAGTTAATAGCTGCGGTTGATTTCTGCCATAGCCGAGGTGTCTGCCACCGTGATCTAAAGCCTGAGAACCTCCTCATTGATGAATTTGGAAACCTTAAAGTTTCAGATTTTGGATTAAGCGCAGTGTCTGAGTCCAGGAAGCAAGATGGCCTTCTACACACAATTTGTGGAACACCGGCTTACGTTGCACCTGAGGTGATCAATACCAAAGGGTACGATGGCCAAAAAGCTGACATTTGGTCTTGTGGGGTGATCTTGTTTGTTTTGCTTACAGCCTCTCTCCCATTTTATGAAGAGAATTTGATGAAAATGTATCAAAAGATTAACAAAGGTGAGTTCAAGTGCCCAATATGGTTCCCTTTAGAGGTCAAAAACATGCTGTCAGAAATTCTTGATCCAAATCCAAACACAAGAATGACACTAACTAAAATCATGGAAAATTTGTGGTTCCAAAAGGGTTTGAATAAAACCGAAATCCCAAAACCAATAGCCATCAGGTTAAAACAACAACAAAGAATTGATCTTGATAATAACGAAAATGTCATTCAAGAAACCGAAACTCCCATTGATCTTGAAAAACTCGAAAAGGCAGCAACTGCAAAGCTTCCTACTACCTTGAAGAGGACAAGTTCGATGAACGCATTTGATATCATATCACTATCTGATGGACTAAATCTTTCTGGTTTCTTCGAGAACAGCGTTCCATGTGAGAAACTAGAATCACGTTTCATGACCAGAAAACCAGCAGCAATGATCATATCAAAGTTGGAAGAAGTAGCAGAGACTGAGGAGTTTAAGGTTATGAAAAATTTAGATGGGACAATGAGGATACAAGGGATCAAAGAAGGGAGAAAAGGGAACTTGGCCATAGATGCAGAGATATTTGAGGTGGCACCATCCTTGCACATGGTGGAGATGAAGACGCTATCTGGTGACACCGTAGATTATCAGAAATTTTGTGACCAAGATTTGAAGCATTCATTGGATGATATCGTTTGGATATGAAAAGGTGTATAATGATTTACAATTATTGATCAAAGACTCAAATTTTGTAAACTTATTTCAGTGTTTTGGGGAAGTTAGTGGATTATAAGATTTTATATACATGCGATTTAATTTCATAGATGATGAGCTAATTAATAACATACAACCTTCATTTTTGTTCTTCGTGATTCACTAATTACTTGGTTTAAAACTAGAAGTAGCTAATTGGTAGGGTTAATAATTTAAGTGCAGGCCAAAGCGAATGTTGGATCAACATTCTCACACTTTCTGTTGTCTTTTAGACTTAATAGATAAACAATATGAAAATTAGTATTTTGAACTAATATTGATTCGTTAGTAACATCATACACAAACAAACAAACAAACAAACAAATGATATTGAAAAATATATGTCGAAATGTTGTAAATAATAAATAATATTATTATTATTAAATTACCAAGTTTTTTCCGGAAATCATATTGATTATTCGCTGATAAAATAAATGCACATTGGGATTATCCTCTTGTCAAACAAATTATAATACGAGACATAAAACGCAAAACCAACCTAAAGATCATTGATTTTTGACTACTTAAAATTGCATGAAATGACTCATGTCTTTAGAAGTTTTTACGTTGCTCAGTGTCTATAAGCTTCAACATAAAATTCATTTAATGCATATTATCGTTCTTTCCAACAGATATTGAAGAATCGAAAAACGTAAAGTGATTACGCGGAAACTGGAAGAATACATAGAGAGAGAGAGAGAGAGAGAGGAGATTTTGATTTTAGGGTGTGGAATACGACTCCAGCTAGGAGAGTTGTATTTATAGTAGCAAAAACCTTAGGAGACTGCCAGAAAACATAGACTGTGACATATTCAACCTTATCAAGACTCACCTTGTGTCATGCGAATTTGACAAGGTCAAACCCTAGTCGGGATACCTTTCTCTCTTAGCAACATGTTTTATGGAGGTTTTTAGAAGCTTTCACGTGCTTATCCACGAATTCGACACGTAGTCAACGCTGACGAGGTTGGTTCAACTTGATTCGGTCTGAACCCGGTTAAAAATAAAAGTTCCTCAGCTTCCAACGACCGTTGATCGGGTTTGGTCTAACCTTATTTGACTCGAATCCCGCTATAAATAAAAGTTCCTTAGCTCCCAACTACCGATAATTCATACTTAAACTTTATAATAAAAGCAAACAATTTGTGACATGTACCTAAGTTGAAAATACATATATAGTAACCAACCTTAGTAATTTAGTTCAAACTAACTTCCATATTGATTTTATCCTAACTTGACTTCTCGACCTCTCAAAATCATATACAATAGCTCAATATACATGAATTTGTCCCATAATGTCTTTAACATCCTATTGTTAACCAACAAATTCCTTATTCTTCTCTTCCTCGTGAGACACAAATGAGTAGCTTCTTTCCGTTACTTCCTTACTAACAAGACTTTCTACAATTTACTTTTCATATTGTAGTTCCCATCCTTGTCTAGTTAACCACTTAAAGCACAACTTTTCAAGTTTGACTTTTTCTAATCAAACAACAAGTCTTTCAATGATTTTGAATCCATCATTTTGAAATACAATACAATGTTCATGATAGAAATAATCAACTAGTTATTTATTTCATCACTTTTACAAGCCCAAAAATTATTCACTTCAACTTTGATGGTTCTTGACCCATTTTTTTAGAATGGAAATGCACACATACATACACACACACAACTCCTAAATACTTGTCTGATTCATCTAGCAATGGACTTTAAACACTTCCAACTCTTTCCTTTTTTATCTGATAGTTTTAGGAAATAACAATATACTTTTCCTTTTGTCCTATTTCTCGTATAAACACTTGTTTCTTTATGTTATTTCTATTTTAACACATATTATAACATTGTGACATCCCTATTTACACGGCCAGAAAAGACCGATTTTGTTTATACTTTATATAAAAATCAGAGTAACTTTTTAATGAAAGTGTTGCGGAATTTGTTCCCAAAAATATGATAAAGATTTTATCAAAGCATTTCCGAAGAAAATGTATTTCATTATATTAAAACCTCGGGATGTCATTGTCAATACATAACAAAAGCATAAACTGAAACAACATAGGCCTTACAACATTTATTTATATCTACTGGTCTATAATCCATAAACTCTCATCCGATCATCACATCTATGCTCTTGTGCCACTACCTGTAATACAAGAAACTGAGTGGGTCAGGCTTGGGAGCCTGGTGAGCACGTAGGGTTTTCAACCCACAACAATTAAGTTTATTAGTTTCATCACATCAATCAACCTGATTACCCATTCCTGTTATCCTCACTTTCTGTCCCTAAAACATCTAATTCAAGCGACCTAGCCTAAGGATTTTCATCGGGATGGAAACTACTGCTAAAGGGATTACTCAGCAATATATGTCTGTAAGGCAACCATGAGGGGGGATGGAGTACACCGGTGAACACATCGTTCAAAAACACCTACATGTTGCGAGCTTGCTAGCGTTCCACTAGATTGTCTAGAATAGTCAGTGGTCGTCATCAATACCCCGCTAGATGACTGGATCATCGTAAACATCGAGGTCTCTCATCATTTTATTTCATCACACATCAACTATTTATCTACCCATGTTCTACTCAACATATTCGTAGATATAAAATACATATACAGTTTAAATCATTTAAAACATGTATAAATCGTTCATCTAGCATAGATATCATGAACACAAATAATATGCACATATAACACGTAACTTATATTAAATACTTCATACCTATGTGTAAGATGAAAGTAACTATTCACTCACTTGTTAAAGTGATGATTCCCAACTCGGGCAGCGCTTCACTTCTAATAATTTATTTTCCTTCGATGAAACCTAGTATTATTACCGCTAGATTTTAGTCTAATATTTATTGCGACTATTTACGAGCGACGTTGTTTTATAAGTGTTAAACAATACTTTTCAACCACTATGTACAGATAGGGTCCAGACATGAAACACAGGAGGGCATGACCATTTTGGCATTATAGCACTTCTGAAATCCGACAACCCTATGTGCGGCCCTTCAAACCAAATTCCCCGTACCGCGAGTAGTTAAAAGATATTATAATAACACTTTATATTTTATATATATATATATATATATATATATATATTATAAGTTCATAATAACGATAATAAACATAAGCAGAAGCTATACTTAAAGTAGGGTAAGCATAACTCACTTACCGGGAGATTTGGCTAGGAACCAGGCTTTACGGGGGCAGAACTTCCAAGCCAAAAGCTCTTCTTCTTGGAGCCTTCTAGCGCTCCGAGACTTGTAGCACTTGGGAAGTACTAAGGCTTGGGAGAGGTTTAGAGAGAAGTTAGAGAGAGAGAGAGAAGGGTTATAGTGTGAAGAAAAGTGGCAGCCCTCGCACCCTTTTTATAGCCAGCCTGGTCCTCGGTACGCAGGGCGTTCCTCGGAGGTATGCTGCGTGTACCAGGTACACTACACGTACGAGGGGAGCACCTGTCATCATCCGGATGCGAGGTCATGGTGTGCAAGCAAGGGTCCAGATCATGCCACGTCACCCACTTTGCATCAGCCCACTTCCGAATTCTAAATTCTGTAACTTTCGCATACGAGCTCCATTTTCGACATTCTTCATATCCACGCGTAGGTGGCAACGTACTCTACAACTTTCATTTAGACTTCGTCGGCTAATTTTGACTTTATTTTTAAAGTTATATTTTAACAGGCCTGGACAGGTAAAGTCCATTAAAAAATCATAACTTTGTCGTCCGACTTCCGTTTTTGTCTGTCTTTTTATCGTTGAGCTCCTATTAACGAGATCTTCGATTCTTGTTTAGGTTGTGTCGGATCAAAATCGGTCGATCTAAAATTCGAATTCCGGGCTGCATACTTTAATGCCAAATCTTAGAAGAATCATAACTTCCTCATACGAAGTCGGATTTGGGCGTTCTTTTTATGCATGCTCTCGATTTAACATATACTACGACTTTCATATAGATCGCTAAGGCTAAAAAGTACTTTATCATAAACTCACTTTACGTCACACAGCATCGTACCGGTTTTGTCACGAAACTTCGACAGGTCATAATTTCTTCGTTATAAGTCAGATTTCAGCCTTCTTTATATCTCCGGAATCCTAGTCACGCCCACTACAACTTTCTTCATAGATATTGGGTCTATCTATTATTTTATTTTTGACGCTTATTTTTATTTTTAATTTATTACATCGTTATAAGCAAGTTTAATGCACATAAATTTATATAATTCACATAATACTCAAATAATTCCTCTTTATTACTTCAAAATAGGTTACAATTGTTGAACCTAACTATTACATCATACTACTAATGCTTAGCCAGAAACACGGGCGTTACATTCTCTCCTCCTTAGGATGATTCCGTCCCGGAATCATGCATCAGCAAATATATGTGGAGAGCGACTCATCATGTCACTCTCTGTTTCCTAGGTGAGGTTCGGCCCATTCATATGTTTCCATCGCACAAGCACGAAGTCGACCATCTTGCGTCGCAACTTCTTTGTCTTACGGTCAACAATTGCCTCAGGCTCTTCGATTAACCTCTTATTTTCATCCATTATTAATTCCGAAAGTGAAATTATATCGGGAACTTCTCCCGTAAACTTCCTCAAATAACACACATGGAAAGTGTTATGAATACCATCTAGTTCTTCTGGCAATTCCAGCTTGTAAGCTTGGTTCCCAATCCTCTGAAGAACTTTCAACGGTCCAATAAACCTTGGACTTAGATTTCCTCTCTTTCCAAACCTTATAAGTCCCTTCCACGGTGAGACTTTGAGAAATACCGAATCTCCAACTTCGAATTTCATCGGTTGTCGCTTCTTGTCAGGATAGCTCTTTTGGCGATCTTAAGCTGCCAACATTCTTTCTCTAATCACTTTTAACTTTTCAGTAGTCTGGTGGACTATCTCTGGGCTCATAAACTTCTTTTCACCGGCCTCAAGCTAA